TAGCAAGCAGTCAAGCATCTGAATGGTCTTAGAATCACCTTGGAAAACCGTACGGGTTTCTAAGTGATTCTTCAAATCTGGATTTAATTAAGGTTCAAAATTTATTAATCCTCTAAATACCCCTGCATTTACTGAAGCATCTTTTTTATCATTTTCATGTAAGGGAGTTTCAAAGTATCCACAAAATAAAATAAAATTTCATGGGTCTTTTTAACCTTTATGTTATGCTCATTGATTGAAAGTGTGTATGTCTCTCTAAGTTTCTCCTTAGTATTTACATTTCCTAAAAGTGGCTGAAACCACATTTTCAGGTTTTCAGTTTTTTTTAAAAACCGTTTTTTTTTGTTCATGTTACATCACCTCCAAACAGCAAATACAAGAAGCAAAACAATGCATTTTTCACTTTACAGCAGCAGAGTTAACTTTTCCCTTTGGTACCATTCAGAATTAAAGCTACAAATATACCGCTTGTTGTTGCTTATTCTTGGCTGAGATATTTGAATATCAGGTGTTGAACAGTCTTTTTTCTTAACTGTAACTTTCTCATGGAGAGACAACTGTGAAAACTTAAGCTGTTGAAGTTTACTTATCACAAAATTTATATCTTGGGGATTCTATTCAATAATAAAACAGTAGGAAAAAAACAACTAATTAAGCAGAATATCTGGAGGCATGATAGTCAGCTACAGTTTATCACATTCAAGAATATGTTTTTATGTTCAACACACTGAATCAAAAATAAACACTAGCTTACACTCAGACAACAGGATCAGCACTGTGGCAGCAACAATGCTGTCTCTAACCAGCGTTCAGCTTCTTTCCTCAGACATGTGCACATACACATAACAGCCAAACACTGCTTCACAGTTCCATAAAATGAATTTTGTAATTTTTCATGAATATGGGTATGGCTACTGATTAAGGATTATATAATGTACAAATATAATAAAAGAATTAAAGAAAAAAAGACTCATTATATTGAATGTCATCAATTAAATTATTACACATTAATCTCTTTTTTTATACTAAAGTTCACCCAAGTCTCAAGAGCCACCTATGGTAGAGGGTCAAGTAAAAAATAGGGTGTGATGCAGTTTCCCAGTGCCTATACATGATCTGCCACTAGATTTGATACATTGAATTGCTGAAGCTATGTAGCCAATATCTACAGATCAATTGATTTGAATGTGACAAAAAGTGGAATATTATTTTGATGTTTGTTGCACAACATATAGTGCTCATGTTCAGTGCTTACAAGTTGGACAACCTAAAAATAATAAACTTTGAACCATTTTTGGATCTAGTAACATGTTGAGTGTGTTTCTGTTTCTTAGCATTTGTTTTTATTAAATTTTCAAAATCTGCTCTTTCTTTTTGAATAACCCTCTGATTATATATATGTGTATGTTTTAGAAATTCAGATATAAATAAAATATAACTATAAAAACAATATAAGTAAAAACAAAAGGAAAACATTTCTTTACCAACACGTTTTGTTCCTTGAGGAACTTTTTCAAGGTAAATATGGAGATTTTATTTTGTAACTTCTGTGTATAAATGTAAGTTACAAAATAAAATCTACACATTTAACTTGATAGTGATCCTCAAGGAATGATGAAACATGCTGGCAAAGAAAATTTTTCCTTTTGTCTTTATCTGGTCATCCACAGACAGACTGTTTCACAGTATCACAGCTCATCAGTGTGGCTAGACATCCAATCACTTCAGGCCAGGACCAAAACCCAACTGATTTGGTATCAGTCAGAGATTCTAACCCCTAGGCCATCAATGCTTGCCAGAGAAAAAGGCGAACTTTTGTGTATTCATAAACACACCTCTCACTCAGAGAACTAGGAGAGTCTTGCATTATCAACAGTAATAGTGGCTCTTTACAAATTCATTCCTTACACCCCACAGTGCTCGACCAATTATAATTATTGATACTGTTCAGCTGTACTTTTTGTTGCCAAATGTTACAATGGTGAATACAAGATTCTGGTAAAGATATTTTAAATTGCTTTTCAGAGTCACTAAAGATACTCACAGAATGTGTCAAATGGAAAAAAAAATGAAACAATACTTGACTATACTGCTCCAAAACTGGTTTGAGTGTTTTAAGATTGGTGATCTCTTCAAAAAAAGTCCAGAAAAGGATAACTATCAGTTGTCAATTATGATGCTTTAAAAGCAGAAGTTACTTGACTACCAGTATTTTCAGAAGAATTTGAATCATTAAAAGATATATACAGAGCATTATATAAGCTACAATTTTATTGGCACAAGAACTTTTGATAAGTCAAGAAAACGTAAATGCACTCAATAAAATTATTACACATTAATCTCTTTTTTTATACTAAAGTTCGCCCAAGTCTCAAGAGCCACCTATAGTAGAGGGTCACTGAATCAAGTGTGTGATATGAATGCAAAAGGAGGTGCTGGGAAATAAAGATAAAGGCAGATAACAATTGACCCTTCACTTGAAGATGTTAAGATTATAGTGTTCAGGGAAGCGCCATGCAGAAGTTTGTCCCACAAAGTAGCAGTTCTTGGAAAAAAGCAGCCTGAGGGGAAATTCTTCCTTAAATTAGAATACAGAGGAAATGTGGGCAATTCAACCCTATGGATGTAGCATAATACCTCCTAGCTATAAAGGTTTGAACTGGTGAAACAAAAGAGTGGTTGTTACAGTTACAACATTTCAACTATTGAACATGCTTGCCTTCTTCAGGAGTCTATTGCATTTGGTAACCTGGAAATTTTGAATGGAACTCTTTATTTAATTCATGGTGTTATGCTGTAGCTTCAATAAATATTTTGGTCTAAAATTCCAAGAAATTCACTGAATTCAATAACTATCTGGAGAAAGCAGAGAGTTATGACTAGAATGCTGAGACTCTTGCAGCTGAATGTAATAGCCACCTGAAGAACACTGAGGGTCATAACTGGAATGCTGATAATTTTGCATCTGAATGCAGTAACCATCTGATGAAAGCTAAGAGTTATGACTAGAATGCCGAAATTCTTGCAAATGAGTGCAATAATGATCAGAAATACATTGAGGGGCATGACTAGAATGCCCAGATTCTTACAACTGAATCCAATAGCAATCTGAAGAAGGCTGGTGATTATGACAAGAATTATGAGATTCTTACAACTGAATGCAATAACCATCTGTAGAAAGCTGAGAGTTACGACTAGAATGCTGAAATTCTTGAGACTGAATGCTGAAATTCTTGAGACTGAATTGAATCTGAAGAACACTGACATTAATGACTAGAATGCTGAGATTCTTGAGACTGAATGAAATAGCAATCTGAAGAAAGCTGGGCATTATGACTAGAATGTTGAAATTCTTGCAACTGAATGCAATAACCATCAAAAATACATTCAGGGGCAAGACTACAATACCAAGATTCTTACAACTGAATGCAATAACCATCTGTAGAAAGCTGAGAGTTATGACTAGAAGGCTGAGACACTTTTAATTGAATGCAATAGCCATCTGAAGAAATCTAATGGTTATGACTAGAATGCTGAAATTCTTGCAACTGTATACAATAGCAACCTGAAAAAAGCTGAGTGTTTTGACAAGAATGTTGAGTTTCTTGCAACCAAAGTGAAAGCACTAATTCAAAGTGAACATTGTATTTATCAATTATACAATTTTGAGAAGAGCCATTAACATACTCAATATTGTTTGGACACAGAATTGTTTAGTTTTCTTCTCAAGCTCTCCACAACTTCCTGTTCATTATGAATTTGATCCATACTGGGTCCTTCATATTTATGGTTATATTCTAAAACTAAGCTAAACATGGTATTTTAAATGGGCACTTCAGCATAGTGTAATATTTACCAAGGTAAATTTAGTTAAGGAAGCAGGATCCCTTATTTTATGTCTAAATAAAAAAGAGATTTTCTGCAACGTTGAGAAGCCTCATTCACATACTCAATATGGAAAATTATAGTTCAGCTTTTTCTGTTTTTCCTTGAAAAAAGGTTCCCTTTTTTTTTTTTTTTCAAAGATTTTTTTTTACAATAATGTTTACCATGTACAAGTCCCAAGAGCCACTCAAGGTAGAGGGTTACAGAGTAAGATGTAAGAGGCACAGTTTATGAGAATATATGGGGGATATAACAGTTAACTGGTTGAGCTAATTAAGATTGCAATGACCAGGGAAGCATTCTCTTGGGAGTTGGTTCTACAAAGTAGTAGTTCATGGGAAGAAGCAGTTCCAATGGAACTTACATCTCACCAATTGAATATGAGGGAAATGAGGGTGATTCACTACAATGTGTGAGGTAGGTCGGGTCTTAGCCATGAAGGTTAGAATTGGTGGAACTGAAGAAATGTATTGTCTGAACACTTTCCATGAAAATAGCAAAAGGCTTGCAATGTTTTGTCTGTGCAAAAGGGGGTGTTGGATGGAAAATAATTTGATATATTTGAACTCTATTGAAACTGGAAAGTGAAGACTGGGCAGCTCCTGTCCATATATGGCAGCAGTACTTCATTTTTGACCTGATCTGACTTTTTGTAAAGGTAAAATCTGGCTTTTGTTCCTGATGTGGGTTGAAGAATGAACAAGCCAAAACATTGTGTTAGCAATATAATATATAGAAAGAAAGGATTCAATTGTTTAAACAATATTGAGTAAAGTTAGAGATAGCATGACTAAACTAGCAACTGGAAGGATTGCAGACAATTTCCCAAGATATTAAAAATAATTTTCTTTCACAACAGAGGTGATAAAAATAAAGAAAATTTCTAACAAACTCAGACAAAAGAATTGAGTTATTTTCAGAATTATTTTTTAAGATGCCATTATTCCTTGCAAAAAGAATATAAGTTTCTTTTTTATTTCTTGTCATAATTGTTTGAGTTGAGTGAATTTTACCAAAGCTCATTACATTTGAATGAGAATTAAAGCCAATTGCTAGGAAATGTGTTTTTTATAAAACAAGGAAAGAGAAAAAAAGAAAGGATGAAGTGTGGTCTTTTAATGAAAATGTGGACGGGAAAGAGAAGATGAAAAGAAAGAAATGAAGAATGGTGTAAAAAAAAGGAAAGAAGAAATAAAAGAAAAAGGAAGAGAGATGTGGGGAAATGTGAAAGTGTAGTTAAAAAAGAATAAGAGAGAAGAGAAACTTAAAAAAAAGAAAATGAAAAAGATGAGACTGATAGAAAGAATGAAGGAAATGTGAAGAGGAATGAATGGGGACCAGGAGGAAGAAAAGAGAAAAATATGAAAACAGAAGAGTAGGAAAGCACAGTTAAAGATTGAGGGAGAAGAACACAATGGTGGAGATGGGAAATTTCTAAGAAGAAGATGATGGGGCTGGTGGAAAAGGGTGGGAAAATGAAAGGAAAAGTTTAAAAAAGAATGAGATAGAAACATTGAGAAAAAACTGAAGGGAAGAGGAAGAAAGAAGAAAGAGTAACAGGAGAAAGAAAAAGAAAAAAGAAAAGAATAGTATCATGAAAATAAAAATGGAAGACATGAAGTCCAAATAAGCAGGAGGAGAAGGTTGAAGTAGGAGGACAGAGAAAGAGTTGGAGGTGGAAATGTGTAGAAGAGTGAAAATCAGCTATGGAAATGAAAAGTTAAAATGAAAAAGACTAGAAAAGAAAGACTGATGAAAAAGGATAAAAAAAAAGGAAACAGAGAAGAAAAAAAGAGAGAGGGGAAAAGGAGAAGGACTTGAAGAGAGAAAATTCTTATGAAGAAAAAACAAAAAGAAAAGAAGAAAAGTGTGAATAATATATCAACAGTATTAAAAAAATATGCAGTTAATCAAGAAAGCATAAATTTTTTAATTTTTCAAAAGCATTTGCAGCTTAAAAATGACTTTCATATTTTGAGATTCAGAAATAGTTTTCTTTAATGCAATAATTTCTAAAATATGTTACTGTATTTCCCTGGAGCACCATGGTTAGCTCCCAGAGGCACTGTCAGATATTAAAAACTTTTCATATTTCCAGGCAATAGTAAATCAATGCATGGATGTGCAGTCACAATGATAGAAAGCAACATCAAACTTGCACATCAGGAATTACTCCAGCTAGTGTTGAACTTCCTCATTTCAACACTAGATGGCGCTCAGTCGATCAATGAGGTTAATATTATTCTGAATTGTTGGGTGGTTATTTTTGTTTAATGGCATATCAACCTGTCTGTGTTATTTAATGTTGAAATCTAAATATGAAAATTCAAACTTTATAATTAATTCAAGAGAATGATATTTCATGATTGAATTATAATTATCTAGCTGTATTTTTTTAAACAAATAATCTTACAAAATAAAATGAGGAATGAAAGAATAAAAGAAATGAGATTAATCATAGCAAATCATTTTTATTTTTATATTTTGCTATAAAAATGTATTGGTCATTTTGTTATAAAAATGTATTGTTGGTCATTTTGCTGTAAAAATGTATTGTTGGTCATTTTGCTATGAAAATGTATTTTTGGTCATTTTCACTACAAAAATATATTGTTGGTAATTGTGGTAATAAAATAAGCACATTCCATCTCCACTCTCAATTGTAACTTTCCATCACAATAAAATAAATGTTTTTCAGTACTAAAGCTGAATTAGTAAAATAAAACTTCATATGTTTTTACTTAGTGTTTTTATTATATTACAGTAATTTTTTTATTATAATGTATTGCTGGTATTTGTACTATAAAAATGTATTTTTATACTTTTGATTTTTGGTTGGGGGTTCTCTATTTGCCCAACAGGTGCTACTACCCTAGGTAAGGGTGGACCTAGGAACAACAGTAATTAAGAGGTGGTTCCTTGTGCCTCAAAACCTCCAATCTCCTGATCAGAGGCCTCGCTGCAAGATGTAGTTTATCACCATACCCAGGACAATTTAAATTGTTCTCGAACTTTCAAATATTCTCAATACATAATTTAAATAAATAACTCATTTTTAAGCAACTAATAGATTTGTAGTGAGTTCCAATAAAAATAAAATAAAATATAAAATATAAAAATAAAATATATAAACAAAAATAAAAAGAATTCAAATTAAAATAAAGTATTTGAACTTTCCTTTAAAACCCTTAAAATCTTTCTTTCTCTTCAGACTTCACTTTCTATATTTCTCTCAACTAACGAGAAAGCAACCCTCAAATAAAAAGAGGAAAAATAAAAAAAGAAAGAAGAAAAGACTGAAGCCAGACAAAAAATGGTGGAAGTTTGCAGCATCAGAGCTTTCTTATTTATGACTGAAAAATACCAAAAGTCAAGGAGGCTCCACATATAACTTCCATTATGAAAAAGAAAAGAACGCTGGAAAATAAAATAATTTTGGCCAATTAAAAAAATTGACACAAACAAGGTTCACACCAGAATCTTGAAGCCTGATCAAAAGGATATAAACCTGACACTTCTGAGCTAGAAGCAGAACGAATGGCAGAGAGGACAGAACAAAAGAACGCTACTACAGCAAAACCAGCCATGCATGACAAATGAAGTAGTTAAGAGGTCATATGCTAATGATATTTTTGCCATGCTTGGAGCCAAGAAAAACACAGTAGATTGACATGGGCCTATTTCTAAGATTACTACTACCCCTGTTTGACTTTAAAACACTACTACTGGACATTTCTCCAGACTGCTACCAATATCCTCCTAGTATACAAACTTTTTGTTACACCAAATACCAAAAGACTCATTCATCACTATAAAGCAAATAAATAAAACATATTATTTATTTTATATCCTTGAGTCAGTTTGTTTTATTCCAAAATTTCAAGTAAAGAAAATCTACCACCTATCTATACTGGTGAACTTTCAACATGAACACACTTATATTATTTACATTATTCGGACTATTGTCCTCATCAATGGTTTTTTTTCGCCATATTTATCACAATGTTTTCGGCCGTTTATGTTGAATTTCCAGACAAAAAACTGCCTTCTTCAGGTGGTTGAATATCGAACTGGAACCCTTTATTTCGCTCACTGGGGTAGACTTTTTCTAGTTCCACGTGCCATGTTTTATGGATGTCAGTTATATGTCCCTTGTTATCATTATCAGTTATCTCCTGTTAATTTCCCTCTGAAAGTTTTCTCCACTTATTGAACTCACACTCTTTGGGTCTGTCACTGGATCTAACCAACACCTTTATCCATTGTGCCATGTGTCTTTGAGGACATTTGGGTATGAATTTCTGGGTATTATAAACCTAATGTCTTCAGCAAAGGTTTTTTACCAGTGCTCATATTGCAATTTTGCTGTTATCATTGCATGTCTTACCAGAGCTCATATTGCAACTATGTTGTTATCATTGCTTTTTCTCTGGCACTCCTTATTACTGGTGAAATTGTATTTATTTTTATTCTTTGGTCGGCTCAGCAGATTTTGGCCTAGCATATGTGCTGATTCATTTTTCTTTTAACTTTGATAAAAATTTTCCAATTTGTCTATGATCTCAACATGATCCCACAGAGGCTTTTGATCTCCTTCTCTCTCCATATGTGGTCAACCATGCCTGATTTTTCTAAATTCCCTCATGTTACAGCTTTCTGGTGTTCTGAAGCCTTACCTTTATATTCCTGTGGTTTCAAATACAGCTGCATGGGATAGCGTACACACAGTCTATTTAGTAAAATGTTCTCCTCTATGGGGGCCTTACTTAGGAGGAATATCTGTTTCCATGAAGATGTGGTAAATCTTTGTAAATCATAAGGGTTGTCAAAGATGTTATATTGACTGCAGATCTGTATTTTTTTTATTCCAACCACCTGAAGAAGGCTTAATATTAGCAGACATACAATGGCTTTTCGAAACGTTGTGATAGATATATTTGAAAAGATGAGGACAATAGTCCAAATAATGTAAATAATGTAAATAAATACCTATAAATCTCAGAAATATAGACAGACTATCCAAACAAAACACAATTATCAACAGATTTTTGACATTATTTCATATTACTATAAACTTTATATTTAGTGGGTAGAAGTGTTTGGGTAGATATCTTGCTGCTGTTTTAAGGATTAAAATTAATGTCTACCAACTTAGAAACTGAATAATCTTACTAAAGAAACTGTGCCTCCCAACAGGAAACAAACTTCTATTTCCTTTTTCATTAAGGGAAATCACTTTTAAGCTATATAATTTGGGAGGAATATTTTCTTTAGAAACCTCTGCTTTGGTTGCTATTTTGATTTTCTTCTTTCTCCTCAAAAACATCATTCTTATGATGACATGATAAAAATATAGTTTTTGGTGGAGTAATGGATAGCAGCTCAGATTGAGGAATCAGAGAGCCAAATTCGAATTCCAGTTGAATCCATTACATTCACTTACATCTTAATACCCTTGAGAAAGGTATGAATCCTCTTCCTTTCCCCCCACATATGCGTAATTAGCAGGACAGACCAGGTTCTATAGCCTTGGATGGTGACTGGTCTACTGCAGAAAGAAATGGCAAACTACTGCGGGAAAAAATCTGCATTGTCAGTCATGTATCGAAAGATACATGATCGCCTAAGTGATGGCACATGACTGATATTTATGGCTAATATTATGCTCAATATCAGGAGTAGAACATGTGTAAATATAAAAGTTGACACTGAGGGCAACCCTGAATAGTGATCTGTTTCATGCTTGAATGCAAACTTCAGGCCATGTGTGTGTTGTTTGGTGGCTCAACTATTTATATATGCTGGTCAGTGAAGTATTATGTGTAGCAAGGCCAGGTATTTTCAGTTTATTGTATTATCCGAGATTTACTTGACACACCCCTCCCTACTGATCCAGGTTGTGACACAAGGTCAGTTTTTAATGTGGGGATCTGAGTGTTTCCACTCAAGCCACTGGTCTAAGCTGGTCTTAGCTTGTGTAAGCTAGTCATAGCTGGTCATACCACCGTTATGTAACAAATGTCACACAATGGTGGGGAGGGGACACAAAGGAGGAGAGGCCTCTGACACGGAACAGATGCTACGTCTGCAGTATCCATCCCGCCGGGATAAACCTGTTAGACATTTCCATGACGGTCGTCCTTGAGTATTGAATCCAAGGGTTGGCAGTGAATATTTCTTGGGAGACAGTGGAGCAGCGTAGTGAAGGTTCGCAGTGGATATCACAGCAGAGTATAGTTCATCTTCTCCTGGTCACCTTTGGTCCTTCTGGTAGACGAAACAAGATGGCCGGGGCCTTTATACACGACGAATACAGTGTTAGGCGGCTCTGATTGGTCAACCTCCCATTGGTCGATTATAAAGGGGAATAAGTCATTCTGACTCGATCACTAGTTATCAGCTTATATACCCAAAAAACCGTAACAAAACCCACTTCTCCTCTTCTGCCAATCCTCTTCCGAGGATCCAGGGGGAAAGCCCCAGTTTATTGTATTACCCTTGTGGTTATTTGGTAGGTAGTAATTGTTATATTTTAATTTATTCTAAAGGCTAACTTGCTACACATAATACCCTATTCATCAGTATATATAAATAGTTGTGCCACCACACATGGCGTAAAGATTGCATTCAAGCATGAAACTGACTATCACCATGCAGTGTTGCCCTCAGCATCCATTTTTATGAGTTTATAGAGCAGCTGTTGTCCAGCTCAGAAATGTGAACCCCATGTATGTCCCATATCAATCAGCTGGATGTTTTCCACAAAAGTTCTATCAGTGCAATCTGTGGCCATACTTTTGATGATTGGATGCCCAATGCTGATCTTCACACAAAATGCAACATTAGTGGAATTGAGACTTTCCTGATGCAGTCACAAATTTGCTGGGCTGGTCATGTTGCAAGGATGAAAAAAGGATAGTTACATCTATTTCAACTGTAAAATTGAGATTATATTTAAATTTATGAAGATCCAATTGACTAAGAAATCAAGAAAACAGAAGATGGTTCCATAATCAAGAAGTATGACAGAAGGAACTGTTATCATAGAACTTATAGTTACATCTAACCATTTCAACTGTAAAATTGACATTATATTTAAATTTATGAAGATCAAGTTGACTGGGAATCAAGAAGCCAGAAGAGATTTCCACAAGCAAGAAGTGTGATAGAAGAAAATGTTAGCATAGAACTTATAGTTAAATCTAACCATTTCAACTGTAAAATGATAAGACCATGCTACCAATCAAGTACTGCTAAATTCATAAAGTCTAGGTAACATAGAGGTAAGTGCTTTAGAAAGTATTTATAGAAAAGGCACAGGGAAGCTACCTTATGGCAGAGGGTGGAAAAGTGATTGAAGGTGAGATGCCAGGTCAGGAATGAATAATATTGCTGTGAACCAGTGTTCAGATAATAGTTCTCTATATCATCCATTGTTTTTTTGCTTTTAGAAAGACTTAATCCTTTATTACTATACATTGATTTTGTAATACTTGTTCCTCTATTAACTTCCTCAGATTTGTCAAATCGGTTACTCATTTTTTTCCTTTGCTTCTCTTGTCTGTGAATGTTCTTCCAGACTTCTTTCCTGATTGCGTCTCCAAAACCTGTCACATTCTGACTGAGACCAACTTTGTCATTCCTATTCTCGTCAACCCCTGTCTTTCTGGATATCAGCTTAAATAGATTTCTCTTTTCTCCCATATGTCGAAACTATAATTATAAACTACTAGCAGCATGGCCCGGCGTTGCCCGTGCTTGATTCAAAATTTGTACAACTTATACATCAATCGCTATCACTTGACTTAAAATATTTTTGCCTTTCCTTGCCTTTAAAGGAGTGCCTTTAGCCGTGCTGATGTTGCTACATGCCTTACTTCTTGCCTATTTCACACTGCGAATTTTTTCTAAGCTCTATACTAAACATTAAATCTGTTATGAAAAAAGAACTAAACAAAATGAACACAAAACGATCAGCTTTAAAAAAGGACTCATAACTGGAAAAACCAAATGAAAAAAGAATGTTAACAACAAATACTTTTTCACACCCAACCCAGTTCTGCAGAATCAGAATCAACGTCGAGTTTAAGCAAGCGAATGAGCCAATTGGAGTAAAGTGCCACGCAGATTTAAATTTTTCCCACTTGTGATGAATGCAGCTATTGATTTTTTTTGCATGCTAGCATGCTAGTTAACAATCATGTCAGTCAGCTGTTGGCTCTCACGCTGGCCAATAGAATCTTCCTGCCTATTCGTGGCAGCCAGCTATAGGCTCTTACTCTGGCCAGTAGAAAATGGCCGCAAACTACATGAAAACAGCCCTAGAAGCATGAAAAATCGATTATTTCCACTATCGATGGGGGTTGGGAAATGCAAAGTCAGTCTTTGCCTTCTCGCTAACTTGGAGCATATGCATGTAAATTTTGGTGCAAATCCATCGAAAATTGCGGCCATGCATTCGTTACACACACACACATACATCCTGCTTTTTATAGATAGAGATAATTTTGGAAAGGGAACATTTCATAAAATTATGCTCAAAAATTTAAAATCAAGAAAATAACAATAAAAATATCGAAAAAAGAAAGGCATCAGTTTAAACTGATACCAAAAGAAAATGGATTAAGACTTTCTCATTTGTCACATGATCTGTTCACAATATTTTACACAAGCATCATCAGGGCTAGTGCAAAAATCTATCATAACCCCCAAATCTATGATATGGGGGCCCTCCCACTCTTAATACATCTCAATTTTCATACGGCAGTATTCATATAAAATACAAATTTTATTTTAACCTAATTATGTGCAATAATGGATCATATGAAATATAGGTGAACAATTCAACTAGAAAAATTGAAAATAAATACAATGTATCTAAATACAAATTAGAGACATGTCATAAAAGATCATTCCAACTTAAATGGATTTCTCTTTTCAATGTTATGTGGCAATTTTTAACATCAACTTGAGATTTTTCTTGTTAAAAAGTTGAAGAATTTTAACATATTCAACATTATGGATAAAAAATAGAATTTTATATAGTGTTTTTTCAAAAAATGAGCAAAACAAATTCACAGATTTGGACGAAAAAAAGACTGAATGTTATGAAAATCTTCAAAAATTTGCCATCCTTTAACAGTCAGTTGTGCTTAGTTTAATTTGTAATGTATATAAATATAGGGAGAAAAAAATCAAATGAGAATAACATGGGGTCATAGACACCCCCCTCCCCATCAGCCCCTGTTCAGGCGGTCGGGGGTAGTACACACTGGTCCTGCTCATCAGTAAAACCACATTTTAGTTTTCGTGATTTTTTATTTTTCTTCACAGTAATTCACAATCTACAGAAATGAAAATACGGAAAAGTAAAAAGCAACACTGAACAAGAATCTAATCAGTATAGAGATATGAAATTCATTGAACTGATTGCAACAAACTTGGGCAATTTTACAAATGCTAGCTGTCCACCAACCAGCACCTAACAGACATCATACAGAAATAGATTCAGAATCAATTGGATCTATATTTATCAGGCCAACATCTAAGAGATACAACAGGAGGAATCAAGGCAAATCAACTTGAATCTATTGACTTTTATAGTCAGTAAGCTTACAGCCAAATAGCAAACAGAAAATCCACAAAATGAAAAAGAATAAGAAGAAAAAAAAAAGAAGACGATTACATCTATGCAAGATTTCTAAAATCAAGAACTAAAGTTCTCAATGAATCAACCTTTTTTGCATAACTGCTTGCCTCCTGAATTATGACACCTTGAAAAAATAAAAATATACATAATCTACATGTCTTTCAAAAAGAAGTCAAATTATGGCGGTGGGAAAGTGACTAGCGGCTCAGCTTCAGTCGCTTTCCCATCAAGATAAGGTTGCCTCTTTTCTATAAATATTTTCATGGCAAGTGTTTGAATGAACTCTTTGCTATGGCACCTAAACTTTTTGAATTAGAGTGCAGTACTAGACTGGCATCAAGATCTGATCAATTTACAGTTGAGCTAGCTAGATGTAGCCGTAGGTTCTATGCTAACAGTTTCTTCTCTCACACTTCTCAAATGTGGAACTCTCTTCTGACTCCATGCTTTCCAGCCAACTTTAATATACAAAAATTTAAATGCAATATCAATCGCTATCTACTGTCCTCCTTATTTCTCTTTCCTTTTCCTGTTCATTATTAATATTTCTGCTACTAATTTTTCTACACCTTGTAACCCCTTGTGTCTTAGTGGCTTTACTGCCTTGCATGGGGTGATGATACCAATTAAAAAAATGCATATGCTTTTTTTTTTAAATCTCATGTCTCTTCAGGACATAGGTAATCATGGATCCCCGTAACTTTCTTTCCTTTATGATCTGTGAAATTCTATGACGTTTTGGGAAAGATAATCAAGTGGTTTCCCATTGCCTTCACCACATTTTGAAATTCAGAGTTATCTTTCTCCCTTAAGAGCCAGGCAGGGTGTACTTGGATATGCGAAAACAGAGTGAGCAATAACTGAGTAGTACTAATAAGAAGAACAAGATATCTCTAGACATGGGCAGTGGAATGAGAACAGTCAAACCCTGTAGATTAAATAAAGGGTTCAATTTGGAATTCCCTGTAGGTTACCCTACATACACTTGATGAAGGGCGAAGGGTAAAATGGCTGAAATATTGTGATAACAACATCAAAGATGAGGACAAGAGTCTACATGTAAATAGTCATAACTCCTTGAGTTTAGAGAAGTGATTTGCAAGTGCGTCTGAAAATGGTATGATTGTAAAAAATGAGTTCGATTCTTACGTATGCCTCACAAGCAATTATCAATACATCCTTTTTTTTAAAAAAAAGAAAAGAAAAAGAATGTTAATCAATTTATAAATTTCAGAAAACAATGCATCGACCTGGAATCGAACCCGGGTCGCCCGCGTGGCAGGCGAGCATTCTACCATTGAACCATCGATGCTCAGATGCCTGCCGTGGCTTAAATATACTTTATAAATCGTTATTCCTATGTTTGCTTGATCATTTGTACATTGACCAGTGGTTGCTAAACTTTTTCACTCCTTGGCTCTCAGAAAAATTCTCTAACGTCTTCCCCCACAAATATAAAATAAACTTATCTCTCCCTTCGTATTAGAATTACACACAAACTTCAACAACTGATCTCTAACACTATTAATAGACGTATATGTCTGCATTTTTTGTTTTTAGCAATAGAGAACATCTTAAGAACTCTTGTGTGTTTTTTCAGCTGAATGTTTTCTGTCTTTCGATTATTTTCACTTATATGAAATTTTCTCCTTTGCTATCAGGTTCGCCTCTATCTTGCGTTTTAAGCTATCATATGACGTTCTTAACTGACGTCCTTAAAACACTTCATAAACTACTTTTTCGCTGTACAGTTAAAACGTTAATTTCCTTCCGCTTCTTGAATTCAGCTTCAGTGGCTTTGACTTATAGTGATTCCCGATAAAAAATAAACACTGAAAATAAAATATATAAACAAATAAAATAAAATACAATAAAATTAAAAGCATTTGCGCTTTCCTTTAAAACCCTTATCTCTTTCTTTCTCTCTCTTTTTAAAATTTCTCTCTATATACGTCTCTCTCACCTAATGAGAAAATGAGAGGGCAACCCTCAAATAAAAAAAGAGGAAGAAGAAAATACTGAACCTGGTCGATAAATGAAGGAAGTTTTCTGGACCACAGTCCATCCAATGTGACTAAAAACCACCAAAAACCAAAGGCTTCACTCATAACTTCCGCTATATAAAAAAAAATGAAAAAAAAAAGTGTTGTAGCCTTGTTAGGGCCAGGAATAAAAACACAAGAGAGGAACCGAGTTAAACAAATATATTAAACAGTAATACAAACATTAACATATACAAACGAGAGTGTTACAACAAGAATATTCGGTCCGACTGTCAGAGCTGACTGCTGGAAGCTTCCCTCTCCAAAAGGCAGTATCTGCTCTTATTTATATCTGGGAGAGTCCATGCGTGCGTGGGTAAATTACTATAACAAAAAGGAACGCCGGAAAATAAAATAATTTTGGCTATGCAAAGAAATTAACATAAAGAGACTTTTGATGTTAGTCGAAACCAAGGAGTCTGCCAAAAGGATATAAACTGACAGTCCTGAACTAGACGAAGAGAAGGAACCCCTAGAAAAACCTGAATAGGGGAATGGACCGCCAGAGAAACCAGCAATGCGTGCCGCATGAAGAAGTAAGCGGTCATCTGCTTAAGAAGACATTTCTCCGACTTTCTTAGAACCGATGAAAACAGCAGATTGACGCCGCCACCTATTTCTAAGGTAACTACTACCAAGTTTTGACACTGAAACTACCCACTACCGACAATGGAATTTCTCCAGATTGCTACCAAGATCTGCCTTGTAAATGAATATTTGCTACACCGAATATCAAAGGACTCACTCCAATCTAAATCAAATAAATAAATATATATTATTTGTTTATGCCTTATACCCTTGAGTCAGTTTGTATTATGTCCTATGCCCAGAAAAAATAATACCAAGTCTCTGGCACAACACTCCACAGACTACCAGTTTCAAATAAAACCTCAAAATTGTCAGAATCTCATCAGTACTTGTTTCTACTATGTTCACGTTTGAAACAAAACCTATAACTGAATATTGATAGCGATGATAATGATGATGATAATGATAATAGTAATAATTCTCATAACAAATAGACAGAATTATTCTTATTATATTTATTTGATTTGATATAAAAGGTATTTTAGGAAAGAAGTAGAGAGTATGTCAAATCTCTTATCCCGTCTATAAACGAAAAGACACAAGACTCTTAATCTTGTGAAATTTGAAAGAAATAATAATAAATAATAATATAGAATAAAAAATTTACAGTCACCCCATGACTATTCCCAGATAGGAAACATGACAGTTTTTCTTTCAAATACTGAAATGTCCTTAAGATTCTGAAACATGATTTAACCCCTCACTGTAAACAAATTCGTTTATCTAAGATTACGTCCTCTTAATCCCTCTTGGCGTCGCACAATCTTTTTGTCTCTCTATGTACTTCTCTCTTTCTCTCTCTCTCTCTCTGTTTCCCTCTCGGGCGCTCAACACAGTCTGAGTTCCTTCAGTCTGTAACAAATTCGCGAATAATTTAAAAGAAAGATTTTAATTTCAAAAGTCACTTGGATTTCAGGGACGAATTTGTCCTCAACAGATCATAAAGTCACGAAACGTGATTTAAACTAAACATCACTAAAAACAACTGCCTTTATATAATATGACACCCTCCCTCCAATCACTCTCTGTCCTACTCACTTTTTGTCTCTCTACGTCTCACTCTCTATTTCTGTTTTACTCTCTCTCACTCTATCTTTCTGTTTCCCTCTCAGTATCTGTGACAATCATGATACGCACCATACATATATATAAGCGTATTAATATATAGATAATGATAATAATAGTCATAGTCTTTAGATGAAATAAATTTTTGATATAGCCTAACATTTCGCAAAGGGAAAAGAACCTTTTTTAGAATCAATAAGAAGCGTGAGTTTACATTTCACCCGTAACTACATTGTATTATTCACAGTTTTAATGAGAAAGATGCGCTTGATGCAGGGATATCAACTCTTTGGCATCAAGCTGGAAGGTACTAAGATAAAGTTACAGATCTCTGCGTTCAGTAATTTTTCGTTTGTTTCTTTGTTTGTTTGTTTGCTTGCTTACTTTGAAAGAAACTAGACGACTGCACTAAAGAATCGTTCTTACTGGGAAGGCAATAAAGTACATCTGTAATTTGTTTCATGGTGCAGGGTACAGGTCAATTTTTTTTATTCCTTTATTTTTAAAACCAAGATCCTGATATAATTAACACAAGCTCTTGGTTGAACATCTAACTGAACAAAACTAACGGCTAAAAGTTATTACAGTATGACCATGAATTAAATTAGGAACTGAAAATAATTAAAACAAATAATAAAAAAGCTATCGCTTTCAACTTTTTATGCAATTTATAAGTAAAAGAATTTGTTTCGTATAGATATCTATCCGCACCCCCACATTTTTTTCTTTTACGGTGAGATTCACCCTGTATAAGGCCCGGGGGCCACTCGAGGTAGAGAGTTACAGAGTAAGAGGCAGTTTATGTGAATATGAGGGGGAAGTCTAACCCGAGACTTGAACAGGTTAAAATTGTAGTAATCGGGGAAACATCCTCTTGGGAGTCCGTTCCACAAAGCAGTAGTTCACAAAAAGAAGCTGTTCGAGTGGAACTTGCTTCTCACCAACGAAATACGGAGTGAATGAGAGTGGTTTGCTACAATGTGAGTGTCATGACGGGTCATAGCCGTGAAGACTAGAACTTGCGGAAGCAAAGAATGCAGTTCGTCCGAGCACTTTCCATGGAACAGTGAGAGAGATTGGAGGGTGAAAAATAATTTGTCACCCACAAGGACCCGTAAACGCTTTTGGACTTTATCAAGACTGGAAAGTGAGGACTGGACAGCTCATCCCAAATATGATAGCAGTACTTTATTTTAGGCCTTATTTGGCTCTTGTAAAGGCAGAGGATAACGCGATAAGTCAGGCACTTACTAGAAGGGTAAAGGGAACTAACCTTTTTTCCTGCATCTTTATTCTTTAGTGATTGATCGTATATATGAATTCTACTTGTGGTCAGGGGTGAGTTTAAAGCCCAATCGTTTCTCAAAGCCTCCCCGAAGGGATATCTATTCATTGTGACTGGTGGTAGTTCGGGGTCCGAACGACAATGATGAAATATAATTAGTTTGGTTTTCGAGGCATTTTTACTGTAACCAGCCAGTTTTTCCATCCACTGAGGAGTTAGAGCTAGATCAAATAAGAGATCAGCTGCCAATCTCTGGTCATCACAAGTTTTAGATATGTACCCATATAGTGCCGTATCATCGAAACAGAATGTAGCGCAAAGCTGTTTTTAAAGTAGGTTTGGTTTCATTGGTTTTGATTTACAACATATCAACCTTTTGCCGGTTATTTATTGCCGAATTCTGTCGTATAATAGATAGATAGATAGATATACATCGGTTTGGTTTGAACGAGTGTAAATAAGGTAGACTGGTTTGTATGAGAAGCAAGCTCTCATCAATTATTAAAAATTTATATTTTAGTAGTGTAAAATAATTAAAATTAATCATTAATTAAAAGCTTTAAATAAATATTACAATCGTCTCGGTACCCTATAATTTTGAGAGAAGTGTATTTAAAAGAAAGTCGGACGGTTTATAAAAAATGTTACATTTGTGAACATTTCTATTTTTAGAATTACTGGTTAAAAAACCGCCAAAATTATTCTATGCGAATTATTGCTGATACATTTTTCTTTTCTTTTTTTTTTTTTTTTGAATTTAAAAAAAAAAAAATTATTTACTGATCAATCAGAGACGTGGTCTGATACTCTTGTAAATTTTGAAATTAAGGCTTGTCTCTGGAGCCTCCTGATTTTTTTTTTATATAAAGCGACTGACCAGTAGACAAGGGCGAAAAGTAATAAGATTTCAAAGTAGAAAGAACTTTCAAAGCAGGAGTGAGTCATAAATCACTCAACATAAAAGGAACCACCAAGACGAATAGAGAGTAAATTTTTAATCGGTATAAGTCCAAGCAATGCAGTACAGCCACTAAAATGCAAGGGGTTACAGAGTGTGGAGTAATTAGGAACAGAAACATTAGTAATAAGTAGAAAGAGAAGAGTAATCAGGAGGACAGTAGATAGCGATTGTTATTGCATTTAAATTTTTGCAGATTAGAGTTGACTGGAAAGTATGGAGCCGAAAAGAGTTCCACAATCGAGAAGTCCGAGAGAAGAAACCGTTAGCATAGAACTTACAGCTATAACTAGCCACCTGAACTGTACATTAATGAGATCTCGCCGCCAGTCTAGTATTGCGCTTAAATTCATAAAGTCT